CGGTTGCTATTTTGCTTTGCTTCAAAGTAGGTTTGGAGAGGGCGAGATTGGCAACCTTCTTCGAAACTGTTAACATTATGAATAGGCGAAGACAGTGCTACACCAGGTGTAGCTTCACTTTCTGCCTGACTTAAAGCATGTAGACGATTTATAGCAGTTTCAGCGTGGCTGGCACTTCAGCAGGTTCAGGTTGCTGAATTCGTAGCCTAAGCATGGCAATGCGAGTATTCTGCTCATTCGCCCTTTACCGGTGACCGATCCGCTCAAGTCCTGCGTACATGTACATATACATGATTGTATATTCCAGTCACAGGCAAGTGCCATCATCGGTATCTCAATGCCACAAATACATAGCTCGAACCATTCCAATATCGTGTATCAATGCAGTTGAAAAAGTATCCTACTTCTTATAACGGAAATTGGGCGATTCAAAGTTGTTCATCATGGGCTTAGATTCAGGATCCCACAAAGCAGGACGGATTTGCACTGCACATGAAGGTTCAAATCTAAAGTCATGCAGAGCATCATTATTAGCATCATGAAACAATTAGCTGAGTACCAGGTTTGGCTTTTGCCAAATGCTCGAGTGGTAATAGACCTGCTGAATCTTTCTGCGTTGCTACGCACTATTAACTCTCGCAGCGTAGTCCTTGCAGTAGCAGTAGATACTGATTTAACATCTGAAAAAAATGTCACGCTGTTGCCGGTTTTACAAGATCACTGGCTACCTCTTCAATGGGTCTTTGCTTCCATGGCTAACTAAGCGTATCACTGCGACCGTCATCTGCAAGTACAATTAGTTGTTTCTAAAGTATCTGGTTCTGACATTCTAGCTGGTTGGCTGTCCTCCTTTTTCAATGTCATTCGCCAATTACAGCACTGCCCAGCCGACATGACCACTGGAATTATTGTGCCAATATATAAAAATGGCAAACCGAAGGGAGCCCCAAAGATTTACAGACCAGTAATGCTATTGTCAGTGGTTCGGAAAGTCCTTACAACCATAATCACAAAGAGAATTAGCACCAATATTCAGCAATTTGTGGACGAGTCACAAGCCGGTTTCAGACCTGGTCGCTCAACGGCTAATGGGGTTTTCTGTTTGTGGTCTCTGTGTGAGAGAGCTTTGCTAGGAAATTGGAACTATTCGGCAGCATTACTAGATTTCAGCGGTGCATTCGACACAGTGAACCCTGGCAAGGCGCTTGATCGAATGGCCGCTTCGGGTGTACCCACCTCAATGATGAAATTGCTAGTCTCCGATACGACAGCTAGGGTGAAGATTGCCCGGCAGCTCAGTGCTCCCTTCTCGACCAAAATCGGCGTGGTTCAGAGAGACCCGATGTCTCCGGCCATGTTCATTGTCTACGCAGAAGGTGCGATGAGGCAGGTGTGAGAAGCCTGCACCTCCCATTCATGCCTGCCTACTCATTTCTCACAGTATGCAGATGACACCACAATATATGACACTGATCGTGATGCTGTGGTTGCCGCTGCAGCGAAATGTGAGCCAATTTTCGCCCAGGATGACCTGAGATTAAATCTAACAAAACTCAATTTGTAACTCCTTCCAAGGATGATGACGCATGGAGAAAGACGAAACTACTTGGAAGTCTCTTGGGATCTGGAAGTGAGATCGAGAACCGTATCAATGCGGCTAATCGAGCGTTTGGCACTATAGCCTGGAAAAGACACACTATATTATCTAGATTGCCTTTGTTTACCACACTTATCCTTCCGGTTCTATTATACAACTGTGGCCTGTGAACCTTGAAAGTAGCACTCGGCAACAGAATCGATACGTGGCATCGCCGCAAACTAGCTACTATGATCCTTTTTTGGCGTAGTGTATCCCCAAATAATATCGAATAAAAACTTATACAAGCTGTCCAGCCAATTGCCTATCACCAGAAGATGCAGGGAACGGCGCTTGTTATGGTTCGGCCAAGTAATCAGAGAAGGCAGTGACTCATCATCCTCCAAAGCTCTAAGACTTTCACGTGACACCAAAGACATCAAGAAGCCCAGAGGACGCCCCGTAACTAGATGGATCGACAACATCAAGAATGACTTAAAGACAATAAAGTTTCCATTGCCGAAGCGGAAGCTATCTCTCAAGACAGGGAAGCTTGGCTCGGCATTGTGAATCAATGTACGAACTCATCATGCCTAAAATATCTGCGCTTACTCAAATATTTGAAACTCGGGTATTGAGCCAATAATAAAAGTAGAAAGGAAAAGGACATAATTATGGAAACGAGTTAAGAGTAACTCTCCACCACTGTAACTAGATACCATATACAGTCAGAAAGTGCAACAACTAGGCACAAAACTGACAGAGTACTGAGACATTCGACGTCCTGACACCTAGCTTCAACACATCTCCGTAGCGCTAACCGACAGCCTTCCAACTTGGAAGGTTCAAGGTTATGGAAAGACCAAAGAGTGGAAGGCAAGCGCAACGAAAACGAGCACAAGCTACAGTCTCAACGGAACAAAGAATGTCGATTGTCACTGGACGATGACGTGACCAGTAGGCGATTTGACAAAGCGGTCTAACTACAATTCGAAGCAGCAAAGCAGCACACCACCCAACTTGGGTGGGTCAAAAATATCAAGGATAAGTTAAGAAGGGGGAAGCTTTGCGAGAACGAATTGTACAAGCCGAAGTCTAAACTCCTACAGTACTCCTCATGCATGACATTGTGATGGACTAGTTGACTACAAAACAAGTTGTTTCACACGACGTACGTTTCGCCGTATGGTTCGTGACGGCTCATCAGTGTCAGGACGTCGAATGTCTCAGTACTCTGTCAGTTTTGTGCCTAGTTGTTGCACTTTCTGACTGTATATAGTATCTAGTTACAGTGGTGGAGAGTTACTCTTAACTCGTTTCCATAATTATGTCCTTTTCCTTTACTCAAATATCTTTTTGATAAATAACATTCTGTACTTTTATATTATATTCCTAATGCCTAGGCTCATGGTGGAATCGATGCAGTTTTTCCTGCAATAACAGAATGAAGAAGATGCGTATGTCATGTATTTCTCGTTTTCTCTAACTCTTTTTTGCCGACAGAGGCTTTAGCCCCATGGGTGATCCCCCCCCCCCCATGGGGTACATGCAAGCTGTTATTTTTATTATCATTATTATTATTAAAGTACCATCCCGAGTTCGCCCTCTCTTATCTGGTGTGCGCAAGTACAGCATTCTGGCCCATACTCTCTCCTTTGTGTACGATCCCGCTGATAGTTATGTTGCCCAATGTAGTGGTGTCGTGTACCAATGCTCATGACAAAGCTTTTCACTATTCTTCCATCAGCCAGTACTTCTGATCGGTGCTGCGATCACCTGCAGACTGATTGCATGACCTTTGCTGTGGAACAAAACTTGGCGGTTAAAGTTTGAACTTACAAAATCCCTAACATTTACTATCTTTGAATTCGGATGGTGAGCCAATTTAATTATGTCAAATAAGGAGCAGGACAACATGTTAAGAGTGATGAATACCTGTCTACCAACATAACCAGATCATATACAGTCAGCGAGTGCGACAAAATGGCACAAAACTGACAAGGAGTACTGAGACATTTCCGAGCCTCATCCTGCAGAGTTGGAAGGTTATTGGTTTGTACCTTGGAGACATGTTGGAATTACGTGTCAGGTCGCTGAATGTCTCACTTCTCCTTGTCAGTTTTCTGCCATTTTGTCGCACTTCCTGACTGTATATAATCTGTTTATGTTGGTGGACAGTTAGTCATAGAACGAAACATTTTGTCTTTCCCCTTTTTACCATAATTAGATTGGATCACCATCCGAGTTCGAGTTCGCACACCTTTTGAGCCGTCATTACATATACGGCGAAACGTGCGTCGCGTGGAACTACTTTATTCTTTATCCAGTAACTTTCGGCATTCTTTGTTGCCGTGGGGCGTAGCTCGTGCTCTTCTTCGTTGCACGTTCCTTCCCCTCTTGGACCTTTCCGAACCGGATCCTTCCAGTATACAAGGCATTCGTTCGTCCCCTGCTGGAGTACGCCCCACTTATCTGGATTGGAGCGTCACCCAGCCAACTCAGCAGACTGGACCGAGTCCAGCACAGCGCCCTCAGAATCATCGGTCCGGGAGCAATCCTGCCCAGTATGGCAATCAGACCGACAGTAGCTGCCCTAGCTTGTTTATACAAGCTACAAGTAATTACGGGCCCACCTCAACTTCTTGCGGTTCTGCCAGGTCGCCGTCAGCAGTTGGCCACGCCGTGAACCCGGAGCGACCATGCCAGCGCTGCCGGCCACCAGTTTCACCTGGACGCCAGCCTCTACCCCGTTAGTCCTGAAGCGATCATTTCCCCACTGTGTGCTCCACCAGTGGAATGCATTGCCCTGTGATCTGCTCCTGCATCCTCCCCATCGCAGCCGAATGCAGGCATTCAAGACGCAGGTATACCTGCGCGCCGAGAACTGAATGTGGACTACTGACTCAGTCTAATCACACCTATCTAGTATCTACATGTAGGTATTGCTCTCTTTTTCCATGTTTCCTCTACTCTCTGTCTTCAACTCGGATGGTGCCACCATCCAATTAAATTATGGTGAAAAAGGAGGACAACATGTTACGAGTTATGCCTAACTGTCCACCTACGTTGGTAGACAGTTACTTTTATCACAGACTTTACGGTAGTCATAACTCGTAACATTTTGTCCTTCCCCTTTTTTACTCGAATATTCGATCGGAGAAAATCAGAGTACTCGAACTCGGGATCTCAGTGCCAGCTTTCACCCCCCCCCCCCCAGTCTTCAGTAATAACGGAGGAGCCGCACATAGTACAAAGTAAAAGATATAGAGGCACCAGGAAACAGTTCTTACCTACCGTGCATGTCACAGACATTTTTGATAGTGTGTCTACCCCTCAATTGAACGTCAGCTTTTGCTCGCGAGTCATTCTACTGTGTGTTTGGTTTAAGCAATTAGTCACGCAAAACAAAAACAGTTGAAATGGATAGCGCTAGACGGTTAGTGTTCAGGTCTTTAGTGAGAGAATGCGGGTGGCTGTAGTAGAGAGGAAAAGTACCATTCATTACAAAGAGTGATCGTATTCTTGAAACCACGATGGCTAGCTGATAAAAAGTATAACACGAAAGCGCTCCAAGAAGATCAATGTGTTTTATGGTGGCGAAGGAACTGGAGCAATGCCCATTAAATGGCAAACACTCACTTAGTGAATGTGTGCAGTAATATTATATTAAACAAAGCATCGATGGTTTGTAGACTCTCGCGACTGAGAGTCGAATGGCATGCTGATTCTCTGCAAAGGAATTGTAAGCGTGGAAAGAGGTCTAAACGTTTCTAAAGACATTATGAAAAGAGGAAACTAGTTGAGACGTGCAGTATGTTGCATTTGGATGCAAATGAGCGCAGTGTGTGGAATGAATCTAGTAACACATTGGGTTTTATCCACGCTTTCTTAGCTTCATTTCCACAAACTTCAAACTTTTGAAAACACGGTTATGCACGTACACTACACCAGTGTAGTCATCTTCACGACGTCCATACAATCCATTGGCATGGACATGGCTACAGGTGTTATACCACCAACCACCCTTGTATTCATTGGAACAGTCACCACTCCATGAGTCATGATCACGGTCTCGAGTACTGAACTGTTGTCCATTGTGGTAATTCATGCTGTCTTGCAATGTAGGGCTTGAGAATCCTGAAACGTGTAGTCTGTAATTGTTAGCTTCACCTTCAACACGGAATGTTGACCACTTGGCATAATGCTTCTCTCCAGTTGTATTGAACACCATATCAATACGCAGTTCATAAGTACTACCAGCTTGTGACGTCAGATAGTGTAGTGTATCTAGACCCAGCCAGAACTCTCCAGACGCTGATCCGAATCCTCGTTTGTATGCATTCCAGTCACGGTAAAAGTCCACTGAGCCATCTTGTCTTCTCTGAAACACAGTCCAGCCACCTCCATCAGTCTCTCGATCACAGTATGCAGTGAATGTCGTAGTAGTTGTTCTACCAGTGAATACACCTGGCGGACCAGAGTCAATTCTCTGACAGGAAAATAACCCTGCAGAAGAACGAAACAAAAATTAATACCAACTAAGGGCACTGCACATATACGTTCGATTCAGCAAAGCCTTGGGTGACTGTTAAAAGCACGATGTAATAATTGCATATTATATATTTTATACTGCTTATCTCTTGCTGATTTCGTGGAAATAAAGCATCGCGTTTGCAATATTAGTCAAGCCCGATCTGTGTCGAGTGAGCACAAACCAGGTAAGCCACTAGGAAGTCTGGGTGCTCAGGTAATACAAATAAGCTACAGTTGCTACCCTAAGCAGCGTTAGTATCCCTGTAACGGCGGCTATCAACCCCACTTTCCAACGTCAGCAATAAGCACAGATTCTACGTTATGCATTACCGACACGTTGTGCATACGTCTCGAGACATATTTGGCATAGCAAAAACGTTTTGATGAAGATAAAGTCTCCTCGGGAGGACCTCAAGACTTGACCTTCACGCTATAATTTTTCTCCTGCTTTTCTCTTCTTTTTTCTTCCTCCCTCTCGTACCAATTTTCCCATCCCGCGTTTTTCATCACTCAAGCGAAAACAGGAAACCCCCTCGACAGGCGAATAGCCTTTGGGGAATCCTTTAAATAAATATATACGATAATTCAGAACCCCTGGAAGGATACACATGCCCGGATTTGTCAAGACTTTGGGCGAACAATGCGAGCAACATCTCAACATCACAAACCCAGATCTGTCAAGACGTTGGGCGAACATTGCCACCAACATCTCCTCTTCGAATTCTTCAAAAATGATAGTCCGTGAGGCAAGTGCCAGAATGTGAAATCGCCTTCCACCCCCCCCCCCCTCCCCCCTGTCGCAGAGGTTTTTTCGGCGTGGCTGGGTTGGCACTGGTTCACTGAGCAGCCTCGAAAGTGTAGGCAGTCCAGGAGACGTGCGATAGCCTCGCGGCGAGGCTTTTTTTCCTTCGCCAATTGTCGAATTTAGACGTAGGTTTAGCATCTAAACCTCTCCGGTTTGTCATAATCCCTTGACTGTAAGTCGCAGGCGCTCGATATGATAAGGGTCGCATGGTGGAATCAGGTTTCATGCGGTGAAAATCAAGCGCGAGCGCGCTAAACCTTTTGCAGATTTTTGAGCTGTGCACTAAGATTGTGGTTGCTGTTCCCAATTTCAGTTTAGTCTTTACCTTTTCAACAAATCAGGAACCTTATTTACCTTCCTTGACGCAGAAGTAACTCAACACGATTGTGGTACAGTAGGTATCGCGGAGTTGATGATTATGCGCGGAAATTAACGACCCTGCAGCGGTCTGACTAGTACGCCATTAGGTGGTAGAGGAGATCGATACCAAGCAGCAGAATCTCCTTCTTTGACCTTCCGGTATGCTGGCAGAATCCGGAATGAGGATTGGAGGCTTCTTGTTCAATATCACAAGCTTGCGAAGATGAAACGTGTGCCAGGCTTTTATCAGTGACATTTCTCAACATAGCTGGCCAGGTAAGAGATTTAGTTTCATCCATATAATGATCATTTCGAGTTACGAATGGAAGATGGCTTTCTATAAATGTTGCGTGTTTCCTCAGGATGTATGCTGGGACTGATTGTAAATGTTTGCCTGCGCATGAGTCGTTTCTGGAAGATTTCAGTATAAAATTGTGTGTGTGTGTGTGTGTGTGGTGCACATATGTAGTGGTGTGTTTGTGCGTGCACTGGTGTGTGTGTGTGTATTATGTGTGTGTATTGTGTGTGTGGGGGGGGGAGGGGGCGAGTGCGTACGCTCACATGCACTGATGTGTGTGTGTGTGTGCCCGCACCTGCACTGGTTTGTGTATATGTGTGCACAGGCGTGCATTCGTGTGTGTGTGTGTGTGCGCGTGCGTGTCCGTACATGCAATGATGTGTGTGCGGGAGTTTACTGGTGTGCACGCGTGCATGCGCTGATGTGTGTGTGTGTGTGCCCACAGACGTGCACTGGTGTATGTGTGTGTGTGTGTTTACATATGTGTGCCCGCATGCACTGGTGTGCGTGTGCGCGGAAGAATGTACTGGTGTGTGTACACACATGTGTACACTGAGATGTGTGTGTGTGTGTGTGTGTGTGTGTGTGTGTGTGTGTGTGTGTGCGACACAAATTTTCTGCTGCCAGCTGCCTGTAGCCGAACAGCAGGCGAACGTCAATGCCATGCCTGCCTTCGGTGGTTCCGAAGTGCCGGTGGACTTGCTGTGCACAAGTGCACAACACCAACCCCGGCAACACCGCCCACACCTCAGCGCATATCAATCACCAGCCACCAGTGTTGCAACCAGCACTGCGCTACCTGTGATTGCTGTTTTAAATCTGCAACTGGCTTTCGGCGACACAATTGCAATCGTGGACGGCGTCGTGGCGGAGCGGCTTCCTAGTGGCAGTGCTGACTTCTCTCGAACTCTCTCTTCTACTCTCCCCTGTCTTGGGGGCGGCGTGGCCAAGCATTTGGCGGCTGTACACCAGGGTACGCAAACTGACCTATTTCGGGCACACATGCCACCCATGTGGCTGCAACCTTGTACGTGACGTAATATTTGGTGTCGTGGATGGTAAGAGAAAGCGTGGTCGTCCAAAGATTTCCTTTGCTGACAATATCGTTTCGTGGACTGGTATGTCTCTGCATGAGAATTGCCAGTTGGCACCTGACAGAGATGCCTGGCAGTCACACTGTGCATCTGCTGCTTACACAGCTGCATAATGCCGTTTATTATTTTTATTTTTTATTCTGAAACTCGGATGTTGAGCCATAAATAAATGTAGAAGAGAAAAGGACATATGGATACGAGTTGAGAGTAACTCTCCATCACTGTAACATGATATGGAAAGACCAAAGAGGGGAAGGCAAGCGCAATGAAAACGAGCAAAAGCTACAGTCCCAACGGAACAAAGAATGTCGATTGTTACTGGACGATGACGAGACCAGTACGATATTTGACAAAGCGGTCTAACTACAATTCGAAGCAGCAAAGCAGCACACCACCCAACTCGGGTGGGTCATAAATATCAAAGATAAGTAAAGAAAGGGAAGCTTTGCGAAAACGAATTGTACAAGCGGAAAGCCAAACTCCTACAGTACTCCTCATGCATGACATTGTGATGTGCTAGTTGACTATAACCTTGAACCTTCCAAGTTGGAAGGCTGTCGGTTAGCGCTGCGGAAATGTGTTGAAGCTAGGTGTCAGGACGTCGCATGTTTCAGTACTCTGTCAGTTTTGTGCCTAGTTATTGCACTTTCTGACTGTATATAGTATCATGTTACAGTGATGGAGAGTTACTCTTAACTCGTATCCATATGTCCTTTTCCCTTCTACATTTTTTATTCTACTATTTATTTTTTCGGCAACGCAGATGATGATGATGATGATGATGATGATGATGATGATGATGATGATTTTTTTTTTTTGTAAGTCAATCTCATTCTCCACGCTTTGCTGTCATTTGGTTATGTTTTAAAGTAGTTTTTATGACATGATGTTTGTTTTTTATATTTGTAGTTCTATTGTTGACATCTTTTGTCTTTTCTTTGGGTTATAAGGTTAACTTCATCCTCGTTTTCTTATTGCCTTGTATTGGAATTTGCCCATAAAAGTGGCTACGGTGTGATAATGCATTTTTATATTTCGTGTTTTAACATTATTTTCAGAAAATTGCTCTTACAATACCTTGCGTTTTATATTCATAATATTGTTGCCCGTAAAAGCGGCTTGGTCACATGGTGATGATGATGATGATGATGTGTCTTTTGGTTATGTTTTAAAGTAGTTTTTATGACCTGATGTTTGTTTTTTATATTTGTAGTTCTATTGTTGACATCTTTTGTCTTTTCTTTGGGTTTTAAAAGGTTAACTTCATCCTCGTGTTCCTATTGCCTTGTATTGGAATTTGCCCATAAAAGTGGCTACGGTGTGATAATGCATTTCTATAAATTATTTCGTGTTTTAACATTATTTTCAGAAAATTGCTCTTACAATACCTTGCGTTTCATATTCATAATATTGTTGCCCGTAAAAGCGGCTTGGCCACATGATGATGATGATGATGATACATTTGCTTTGCCCGTAAAAGAGGCTTTTCTCATGATGATGATGATGATGATGAATATCTATCATGATTTTTGCACACAATCTCGGTTATCACCGTTTCAAGCCCGTACAAGAGGCCGTTTCCAATGATGATGATGATGATGATGATGATGATTTGATGTTTGTTTTTTATATTTGTAGTTCTATTGTTGACATCTTTTGTCTTTTCTTTGGGTTAAAAGGTTAACTTCATCCTCGTTTTCTTATTGCCTCGTATTGGAATTTGCCCATAATACGGCAAATAATGCATTTTTATATTTCGTGTTTTAACATTATTTTCAGAAAATTGCTCTTACAATACCTTGCGTTTTATATTCATAATATTGTTGCCCGTAAAAGCGGCTTGGTCACATGATGATGGTGATGATGATTTTTTTTCATTTTTTTATTTTTTTTGATCCCACCTTCCAACCCGGCAAATATTTTGATTTTGATAAAAACGATTCAAAGCCTCTCAATTTTAGTACTACTTGATGTATATATAAGAATAATAACATTAGTTACACTTTCACACCAAACTAGCTCGGCGCAGCACCAATCACTGCAGGGGAACCCGACCCTCCACCATCGCCAACTCACGAAGCATGTGAACTGGACGATGACGGGCCGACCGAGCACCCCTGACACACAACACAGCGGAACGTAGCAGCGCGAAAGACACCCGACAACGATAATAACTCATCAACGACGAATAGCTACCTCCCGAAGATTGAGCTGTAAGGAGGCAAAGGCGCCTGAGGAAGGCCGTGGATGCCGGCGCAGCAGCCCCATTCACGGAAAACACAAGAGGTGCAAAGGCACCACGCTCAACATTGACTACTCTCTCCTGATATTGCAGTCTCTTAGCGCCCTCATGTTGCCGGAAGAGCGCGTCCAGGCTTCTGGACGCGTAGGAAGAAGCGTCAGGATTAAACACCCT